TGTGACAAAAATAAAAGAAAAAGTTGAAAAGAAACAAAAAGATGAGTACATCCAAAAAATGATATATGTTGAAGCTCAAGTCAAAAAGCATATTAAGACTTTAAATCAAATAGAACAAGGTAAGTGAACAAATACATATGACAATGTCCTAATGAACTTTCAATTTAACTACAAGCACAAGCAATCTATAAATGATATATTATTCATTTCTAAAGTTAAAAGTCAATCTTACACATACACTGATAGTGGATAAGTTCAATTCAAGCAATAATAAGGATGATTATTTAGGATAATTATTTATGATTTTTTAAATTAGCATTACTACTTTGATCATTCTGAATTACTTCTAAATTGTGATGTATTATCTTACATTTCAGTAATTTTGAATTATCACTTTTTATTTCGGCTATTAAGCTAATTAATAGATTATTACACTTTTGTTTGAGAATAGACAAGAGCTTAAGCAGGGAAGATTTCGTTAAGTGTATATTGTGGGTTATTTGCTGTCTTTAATTGAGTAAAAATGCATTATTTTAGTTGTGTTTGTGCATAAATGCTTAGGAAAAGGCAAAATTTCACAAGTGTTCAACGAGCGTTGTAGCGCTCATAGTTTCAGCACCATAGTGTCATCATCTACAACACCTCAACACCAAATTCAAACTTTTAGCACTGAGCGCTATGGAATTTAAGGAAAATCAAGCCTCGATGGAGCCAAGGTCAACTCCGCAGTGCTTCATAGCATCTTAATGTTAGGAATTTGCACTACAGCACCTGAGCCTCATGAATTTGAATGTCAGAGCACCGATCATCATAACCCTGCGGTGACAAATTGCACATTCAAGCACCACAACGCTCAACTTTTCCAACACCGTGGTGGAGCAGATGATGAAAGACAGAGCCATGTTGTTTTAGCCAACAAACACACTGATTCAGCCAACAAACATGTCGAATCAATGTAGTGCCATAGTGGAGCAAACCTAATAGTACCAAGGTGTTAGCTCATTTGATAATACCACAATGCCACCACTTCGAGCTCCACAATGCCTGAGGTCGTTTCCACCCTTGTTATAAATAATTTTTTAGTTCTTTTATTAGAGAGTTTTGACACATTCAATAGAATTTTATAATATTCAATGTAGTTCTTTAGTGCCTCCTTAGAGTAAAATCTAAGGAAGGTTAAGGAAATGCAAATATTTTATTGGAGATATTAGTCTGTCTTGTGTAAGAAATCTTAACAATGGAGGAGGAAGAAGCATGGAAAAGGCAATTGTACTATCCTGGTGAAGTTTTTCCTTACTAGGAAAACATTGTCGTTTACATGCATTAGTCCAAAACATATTTCATATATTTGTATCACCTCATCTATTTGCATTCTTTGCAAGTAGAAAATACTCAAAAAACTTCATTTTTGTTTAGAAGGATAAACTGTGCATTCTAGTAAATAGTACTAATTTGATTGCAACCTAGCAAAACACTTCCTCGTGGGATTGACATCAGCTCAATTATTTTATTACTTAATCGATATATATACTTACGTAGCTAGCCGACAACAATTTTAATATCAAGAAAAACCTAAGCATATTCATATTAATATTTATATTGTTCACCAGTATAATAATAGCAAAACACATCATGCCCATGAAGCTCATGTATGCCCTCACCATCACAAAGATAGCCACCCACAATTACCTAATAATAACTCATATATCTTAAGGTTCATATTTCCACCATGAAAGCTATTTTTCACAATTCATAATTGTCATAATGTATTAATACCAGCTCCTATTATGATGAAGGGCATTCTTTATAATGACTCATGCTAATGAAATCATTTCAACAAAATAGACCCCAAAAATTTTTATTGGAGATCTTAGTATGTCTTATTTAAGAAAACTTAACATTGGAGGGAGTGTGGAAAAGTCAATTGTACTATCCTTGGGAAGTTTTACCTTATTAGAAAAATATTGACGTTTACATACATTTGTCCAAAATGTATTTCATATATTGGTATCACCTCATTTATTTGCATTCCCTGAAAGTGGCAAAAACTCAAAACACTTCATTTTTGTTTAGTAGGATAAATTGTGCATCTGTATTAAATAGCACTAATTTGATTGCAACCTAGCAGAATTATTCCTCGTTGGATTATTCACTCATTAATTTTCATTGTGTCGAGGCTCTCCCTTCTGCTAGGGTTCTTTCGCTGGGTTCTGTCGGGGCTCTCCCCGCCCCGCTGGGGCTTCATTGCCGGTTGTTCTCCTGGATTCCAGGGAAGTTTACTCCTCTTTGTATCTAATTATTTTGGTTTTTGCTCAATTGTTTTAATTATTTTCTCTTCGGCGTTACTGGTATGGATTCGAATAAGTTTGAGAGGGGGGGGGGGGGCGTTGGGGAGGGGGGGGGGGGGGGGGGGGGGGGGGGGGGGGGGGTGTTTCTCATTCCTGTTCGATTTTAGATACGCTCGCTTGTTCTTCTTCGTCTTCTTTATTTATGGATTTAAAGTCTTCTATATTCCGTGACTTTCCCTCGCTTTAGATTTCCAACCAGGAAATCAAGGCTTTGGCTTTACCTTTTCAATTTTCTTTAGTTTAATTTTTTCCTTTTAAGAGGCCTTCTCTAGACACCATTCGGAAATTTTTTTCAACTTCAAGCTGAATGACGAAGTCTTTGTTACCTTGCTGGATCCTTCTCACATTCTAATCAAATTAGCAAATGACCTAGACTATTGTAGGGTCTTTTGCCATAGATATTTTCTTGTTTTCAACTGCTATATGAAATTAACAAAGTGGTCGCCTTGCTTGGACGTTGGTGTTGAGTCGCCTGTTATACCAATTTTGATTTCTTTTCCTCATCTTCACCCCATTTGTACACTCCTCGTGTTCTTCACGGCCTTGGTGCTATTTTTGGCAAACCGTTGAAAATTGATGAAGCAACTTCTATAGGTTCACGGCCTTCTATTGTCTGTGTCTTAGTGGAACTTGATATAACTCAATCCTATCCTAATCAAGTCTAGTTAGGCTCTGAAAATTTAGGGTATGTGCAGGAGGTTGTGTTAGATGATTTTACCCCCTTTTGTGTGTCTTGTAAGTGTATTGGTCATGTTCCGGGTAAATGCCGTCCTGGCTCGGCTGTTCTCCTTAATGCTACTCTTAATTCGAGCTCCAATTTAGTCCCCACTTTGTTGAAAATGTTGTTGTCCCCTCTATGACGCTACCTGAGGTGCAAGGTTTGGGTTGTGACGTTGGTATTCTTGAGGATGATGTTAATGTCTTGCCTTCTGTTAATGAGCTAGGGTTTCCAGTGTCGACTTCTCCTCACCCGTTGCTTGTTAATTCATTGAGCAATGTCATTTCTGTTGAAGAGGTTGGTGCTGCTAGGTCTACTGTGAAGGTTTCTGAGGATATTGTGACTGGGGTCTTACCTTCTATTCAGGTCCCTCGGGGTTGTGCTAGTGCTAGTGGTCTTTTGCGTTGTGTTGTTAATTCTTGTCCTGTTTTTTCTGTGGTGAATGCTGTGTCTGCACCTTGCTTTTTAAATAGTAATGTGGTGCCTTGTGTGGATGTAAAGGATTCTGGTGAGTCAAGCATCCCTAATGTGCCTTCCCCTAGGTCTCGTCTGCCTTGCTCTTCGGTTAATTTGAGTTGGGATAGATTGGTTACACCTTCGGGTGTGGTGAGTGAGGGATCTGCTGTTGTTCATACTGTTTTTTCTCTAGTTACGTCATCCTTAATTGGTCATCCTTAATTGGTCATTTGGTTGAGGTCCCTATTAATTTAGTATCACCTAAGGCATTGGTTGCTCAAGTAGGTGCCATTTTGGGGGAGGATGTTAGGATGCAACTTAATTGGCTTCATTGCTCATCTGATTCATCTTTGGAAGCTAGTGAGGATGATGAACCTGGGGTTGTTTTTCCCTTTCCGAATGATCGTCCTGTTGTTTTTGTTTCCTCTCATGGGAGGGGTAAACATGGGAGGAAATAGTTTGTGGGTTGGTGCTGTTGTTCTCGGTTGTCTTTGCTGCTTCTGGATGGTGATTGGTTTTTACATTGGTTGATTTTTGCTTGTTGCCGGTTCACTCGAGCTTCGATTTAAATTTATTGTTGGTTGTTTGGTTTGCTGGGCAATGATGTGGCTGGGGCTCACTACTCCGTGCCATGGCTCGTGGCAACCTTTGGTGGTGGTTTCTTGCTCGGTTGGGTTGGATGCTTCGTGTTTTACTGCTCTCTTCAATAAATTGGATGGTCTGTGCCTGGCTAGGTGTAGTTAGAAGCCTCGACCAATTACTGAGCCTGTTGGGTTGTAACTCCCTCGTATTTTTTGTTGCTTTTTTTTCATTTTGCTCCTATGCTTATTGTACTCTTTTTATGATTTTAATAAAGTTTTTATTTAAAAAAAAATTATTCCTCATGGGATTAACACTCACTCAATTACTTTATTACTTGATCGACACGTATACTAGCGTTGCTAGTAGGCAATTTTAATTTCAAACAAAGCATAAGCATATTCATATTCATATATATATATATATATATCACCAATATAATAATAGCAAAACACATCATGCCCACCAAGCTCGCGTGTGCCCGTACCATCAGAAAGATAGCCACCAATAATTACTTAATAAGAACTCATACATCTTAAGGTTCATACTTCCACCATGAAAGCTATTTTTCACAATTCATGACTGTCATACTGTGTTAATACCAGCTCCTATTATGATGAAGGACATTATTTATGCTAGTGAAATCATTTCAACAAAATAGTCCCCATTTTTTTTTTCTTTTTGAATTTTTCACATAAGAAAATCCCATGACTTCTATGAACTACTTTTAACTTACCTGAGTATGAGATTTTCTTTCAATATTAAGATAATAATCTCCTCTACCATCATGAATATTCCAACATGCAAGAAGGGTGATTTTTGGAGCCATGGAATTGGGTGTTATCCAAAATTATGCAAGGATTAATAATTTTAGAAGAAAGCAAATAACATGTTTAATATCAAAGAAACTTAAAACTGAAAACAATGTATATATCTCTTATATATGCTTTATGACAGACTACAGCAACTCATAACTCATTATCACATCTAAACAATTATCAGCAAACTAAGGGCTTTCCCAAAGTTTGCAAATTTAATGGTGCATTAGGACTCAATATAAATGCAGAGTCACATCTACACTCCTCCAAATACCTCCAATCTTAAATAATCAACAACAATATGCCTCGTAAGAAGCAGGCAGTCTATTTACAATATAAATTCTTTCTATTTAACTGTATGTTCAACCCCATCAATCGGCCTGTTGCAGTTTCTGCAACTTCACCAGCTTACTATGAAAAGCTGCAGCCTCAAAGAAGACTCTTCCCTCTTCCTTTCAAGATGGAGTATTAAAAATTTTTATATGAAATGTTAATATAGTATCTGGAATTTCATCGGTAGCTATTATTCACAGATGGCTTCAACTGCTAGCCTTTTCATGGTTCCAGGGCATGGATCTCCACCAAACACTTCAGGATCAGCAACTACAGCGCAAGTTTGCTGGCCAATGCAATTCTGTAACAGACCATCCTGAGTTAAATTCTTGAAAAAATCAGAATAACTATATAAAATTTGTTTTTGTGTGAAATAGAAAAGCTTGAAGTTGTAGAAGGAAGAATTTACCTTCTGAAAAGCATCGTAAGATTTGTGAGCATGGCAGACTCCTTCTGAGTAGCTTCCACACCCCCCTCTTGGAGTTCCAAAGCTAGCAAATTTTATGTTGGTCATCTTGTGCCCAGCAGGACAAGAGAGATGCGCTTTTGGCCTTCCATATTTTTTAGTACGCCAATTATGTTCTGTTGCTTGCCATTCTGCAACATCAGCACAGACACTCCCTACTGTTCGCTGGACAAAAGAAATCTTAGTTGGGTCTCCACCCCATTCCTCAAACACCACCAAAAGATTACCAGTTTGTTTCAAAAACGAGCGCGGGACATGATACCTGCACATTTTGCATCATCATTGTATTTCAAGTTCATGAAGATGATGGAAAAAGAGCAATTTTCAATTTTTTACTAGAAAACTGCTTTATGAAGTAGTAAGAAAGCTGTCCCAAACGAAGCTTTAAACTCATGGCTTTTCTAAGTCAGGACTTGTAATGAGCTTGCTTACCATCTTTGGGAGGACTCTCCACAATTACTTTGGCACTTCTTCTCATCATATGTACCGCGGTAATCGCAACCACCACATGAACCTGAAGCTATATATGCAGGCCAGTAACGGCCAATGCTTTCACCATTTATCCAAATCTGACCTTTTCCCATGCTACTCATATCTAGAGCCAAAGGTTCATTTCCACCAGGAGCATTGAAGAAAGTCTGTAAAGAAACAAGAAAAAAATGTGAGAAATATACATTTAGGCTTTGTTTGGAACGACTTTCTTACTGCTTCTTAAAGCAAAATTTTTGTACTAAAAAATTGCTTTAAACAGCAGTAAGAAAGTCATCCCAAACGAAGCCTTAATCATACAAATTTAACAGCAAATCTGAAAATTGGAACTTCAAAGAGCTTTTCATCACAATAAAGGAAATTCAGCACTCACCTTGAACCATGTCAAAGGTTGCTTTGGATAAACATCTCCCCATTCAACTGAGGAACTTCCATCAAGTGAATGAAGACTTAGGTGTTCACCTTTCATGCCAATCTGCATTGAATCACAGTAATCAGATAGTTTAATTTTGTTCTGATTTTCATTTTTTTATAATTCTGAGTATGAATAGGAGGAAAGCAAAGATAACTAACTTGGTAAGTCCATTGCTGATGAGACAGGTCTCTATTTCCCTCGTTAAGACCACTTAAGGTCACTGGACCAAGAACTCCAGCATTCCAAGTCTCAAAATGATCTCCCACATTCTGAAAGCACAACAGTTTATCAAAACGGAAGCTTTAACTTTGCGCAATATTTGAATTTGATCTGAAAGAAATTCTTGTGAAACAAAACATACTGGCAGGCCAACAGCCACACTTAGTATAGAGATCTTGTTGCTTCCAGCCCACATTTTCAAATTTCCTCTGTAAGTTAGCTTTGGAGAATCAACACCGCCATAGGCATTCCCTGCAACCATAAGTGAAAAAGAAAACTATAATGATTACAGAAAACAATTGCACCATAGGCTCTCTTAAATTTCAGATTCTCAGTAAGCAAAACCATCTACCTGCATATTGCCCATTAATGAAAACATGCATTGCATGGCCAGCGGAGAGAGCTGTGAGGACTGGGTAGTTTCCTGTCTTCAGGAATTGTTCATCTTGGCCAATGTCGACACTGAAAAACAAGCATTCGTTGGGTTAAGATCCAAAATATGAAATTTTAGATTATTATGGCTATAATGAGTTTGAAAACTTACTATGTCGTGTACCAGAGATAGTCAGATTTATCCCATGTTAGACTAATTTGCTCGTACAAACCATTTTTTGAAAAGGAACTATCATCAAGGGAATTGGTCTCTTCGTTGTAAGACTGCCATGAAAAGCTTCCCACCCAACTCATCTTCACCAATGAAGTCTGAGCTCCTACCTGCATTTTGTGGAGAAAATTAGGTATAATCCTAAGGAATTGGGTTCCATGAACATTATCAACTTAACAATCAAAATGACATGAAAAGTATGCAATACTCACTTGATTTAAGAAGAAAAGAAAAAAAATCTCAGGAGAAAAGAACTGTAACAAATAGAAAGTGCATAACTCATTTGACATACCCTTGCAGTATTGAAAACTGTGGTTTTGCAATCAGGAAGGATGCTGATGGACCAAGGAGGAAGATTATAGTGCAATCCATTGAAAGTTACTGTGGCATAAGATCCTGAGTCATAGTTTGCCAGGAAAGCAGCACAAGCTCCTGAATTTGTTCTGAATACATGGGACTAGAAAGCAAAATATTCAATGAGTTAAATACAAAATTTTCTCATTTGACAAAGCATAACTATGTTCAGAGATTACCTCCTGAGAATTCCCCAGTGATGAAACTACAGGATCACTAGAAACTAGAGCTGGTTCACACAGCTTAATTGCTCTATGCAGATCTCTTAAATGGCCCCATTTTGGCTCCCTTAGTAGACCTAGTTCAGAGAATAGCCAAGTTAATATTATAACTTAGCCATGGAGGAGGATATCAACCCAAATATCTCCATTCACAAAATCATAAAAGAAAAAGTAATATTTACCATATTCATCAATTGGGGCATCATAATCATAGCTGGTTGCAATGAACGGGCCGCCGGCGGTCCGGCCAAAATTTGTTCCTCCATGATACTAAAAAGGAAGCAAATTTCAAAAATAATCAACCAAGAGATCGATCAACGGTGATACAATTGCAACACAAGTAAGCTAATTAACCTTATACGTTCATTCAAACTAAGTTAATTCCTACCATGTAGTAGTTAATGAAGGATCCACCTTTCTGAATAAACTTTGCAACAGCAAAAGCCATATCTTCAGCAGGTCGATGAGGAACTGGACCACCATACCCTGTAAACCTGAAATAGAATGAGAAAACTTTAATTTAAGAAGAGAGTAAAAGTTAACTATTACTTAGTACGATAAACCCTTTTAATGGATCTATTAACTCAACCAATATGAAGTGTTAATTACTTCATAGAACCATCATCATCATCATTAGTTTTATCTCAACTATTTGTGCTGTCAAATCTATTATATGTAAATTATTTAAAACAAGTTCTATCCATATCACCCTTAGTCCACGCATTTTTCTTCATAATGAGTCAATAATACTATTCTCTAAATCACTTAGGCTTTGTTTGGGATGGCTTTCTTACCGCTTCTTAAAGCGGATTTCTAGTATATATAAAAATTTTAATTTTTGTATTGGAAAATAGCTTTAAGAAGCAGGAAGAAAATTGTCCCAAACGAAACCTTAGTCTAATGAAGCCAAGAATACATACCACCCAGTCCAAGCCTCTGTCCACATGGTAGGTTTGTAAGGCTTGTTTGGAGAGAAGTAGTCGCAGTAGAAACCATTGCATGTGTTAATCTGTTAAGGAAAGTAAAAATACAAAGCTCAAATGAAGATTCCTAAAGGAAGTTTCCAAACTTTCTTAAATGGACGAGCAATAAAATATAGAGATGAATAGTCATGATGATATCATTCTCCTTCACTTTTTTCACGTTGATTGACAATGACAAAATAACAAACAAGTATCAGCAATAATAATTTTATTGGTTCAGTGGCCAATTTCAAGTGATTAAGACTGACACTACAAGGGGTTGTTTGGATACAAGCAAGGTTTAGTAGATCTTGTGAATTCACATTACGTAAATTCTAAATGTGTTAAATCCTGAAAACTATTTGACGTGTTAAATACTGATAAAGATATTTTTTAAATTCAATATTTTAATAAAGGAGAAGAGAACAGGCGTATTTAAAACTATTCTAACCCGATATACTAAATCCAAAATTAGCTTAAAACATAAAGAAAACATGATTTAAGAATGAAAAAAACACGATATTTAGCATAAATCATAGTTAAATCTTGCAACTAAATAACCCTAAGTTTTAAAAAAAAATTAATAAAATAAATTTATTAGCCATATGTGACGGGAGAATTGATTAGTTATAGATAAAAGCGTGCGGAAACATGCAGACAATCATTCAGAACGTCGTACATAGTTGTATATAAAACTATGTGTGATGTCCTGGTTGATTGTCTACAAGTGTGGACTCCCTTTCCCCACTTAATAATTTCTCATGTAATGGGACCTATCCTTTAAGATTTAGGATGAGGAAAAGTTTATAGAAAAGGGCTGTGGATAAAAGCAATGGATGTGAAGAAATAGAAGGAAAAACAAACATACAACAGGATCAGGAGCATCATCTTGCTTGCACATGACCCATGGAACGCCAGTCTTAAGGCCAACAGCCATGCTAGCTGCCCAGTTTCCATAAGCTTTTACAGGGGCTCCAATATCATATTCCAATGGCCCAAGCTCATTCTCAATCTAAGCAATTTAAGAAGAAACATCAGACGCACATAAGAAGGAAGCCTAACTGGAATGAAATTTGATTACCTGGGAGAGGATGATAGGACCCCCTTGCCATTCATATAAACTTTCGGCTTTCATCATATTTACAATCTTCTCTGTAAATTTTTGCATGGCCGCCTGTTTCAAGATAAAGATTAAATCTTTCAATTATGAGCTTGAGAACGAGATAAAGAAGGCAATGATATCAATCTCGTAATCAAAACAAACATTGGAAGAAATAGAACCTTGAAGGGCCCATTGTCTGTTCTGAAGCTGATACCAGGAACATATTTTAGCCAAATTGGAAATCCCCTGAGAAGAAAATCAACGGGCAGTGAAAAGGAATTAGAGAAACTGCAAAGCTCAAATTTTATAAGCAAGAACTTCTAACAGCAAAAGAAAAAAATTCATACCCAAAATTCCATTCAGCACAAACGTAAGGACCAATGCGGAGATGAACATACAGACCGGCCTGCTTCACTAGCTTGATAAACTGAACCAGATCATACCTCCCCCCAAAGTAGTACTGTAATAAATCAACAGAAAAAAGTTCAGGAAAATAAATTAAAAAAAAAAAAACAGTTATCCAACTTGAATGCATGTCGTTAGAACTCCCTCAAACAGGAAACTACTTTTTTTGTTTTTTTTTTTTTTAATTTATTTTTTGAAATCAATACCTGACCAGGAGAAGGTTCATGGCCGTTCCAGAACACATATGTCTGAATCACATCTAATCCCCCATCTTTCGCCTTCTGGATAAGATCCGGCCACATCTGAAGCCCAACCAAAGAAACCAAACAACAAGATTAGAACTATCAGAAAACAAAATCAAAAGAAACAGGAATGCCCAAAAATAGAAGCCAAAAAAGAACAACTTTTCCCATGGAAACGTCCTTCTCACCTCCGGAGTGCTCCTCGGATAATGAATAGAGCCAGATATGAGAATCTTCCTCTGCCCATTAATGATCACCGCCTTGCGGTCATAAGAAACAGAGGCTATCGCCGGAGTGAGCCGCCACGGCGGAAGCAGAAGAGCGAGCGCAAGCGCCATTAGAGGTTTCAAGCCCATGACTTCAAAGAAGAGCTTTTTCCTTGCTCAGGATATCTGTGGCGCTCAGAGAGAGAAGAAGAGAAGAACTTAGTTCTGTGTTTCAATGTATTAACTTGTCTCTATTTCGTTGTTTTTGGTCTCACCACTTCCCCCTCTTTCTTTTTCTCTGCTCCTTTCTTTTATTATCGTCGTTTTGTTCCCTCTTCCCGCGGGAAAAAAGAGCAATTTTTTTTACGGAGATAGTGGTGATAGTAAACGAGGAAGGCTGCCGAGAGGCGCCAACTACTAGAGAGAGATACAGAGGCTTAATCTAGAGAGAGAAGCTTGAGATAGAGAGAGAAGCTTGAGATAGAGAGAGACTGCATTTAGCAAGCCATGTCGTGGTGAACTTATATAAGAAGAGGTGGAGGAGGCTGAGTTGGATTGACCTCTGTTAATGGGACCCACTCTCCGAATCTGACGTGGAACATATCAAGCCACCTAGGTTCTTAAAAGCAATATTCATATAGGTACCTCAAAATAACATATTTATAAATGTGACATTAAAAGAAATTTTTATATTAATATATTGCATATTTGCCTTAAGTGTAATTAATTTTTTGCAAATTAAACCAAAAGGTAAGGCAAATGTTATTTGAGATTTATTTAGAGTTTATTTAATTAGATTTCTCTTTTTCTAAGTAACTGGAATTTATAGAGTAAATTTTAAATGTCATTTTTTAAATCTTAAAATAATTTAATTTTTAGTTCAAATTTAATAGATTTATTTTTTTAATAAAATAAAACTTTAAATTATTTTATTCCATCAATTTTCTAACATATAATAATTTTTTTTTAATAATTTAATTTATAAGAAGCAGAGAATCTTTTTTATTGACGTGAGATGATTTATATGAAGATTTGTCCAATGTCACATAACTATATAAGTAAGATAAAATAAAATATATTTTTTCCAAAAAATGAAAGAAGAAAAACAACTTTCATCTTTCTTTTATTATCAACATGAAACCAAGGTAAATATTTTTATTTTTTTAGTTATGTTACTCTAAAAATTATATAAAAAATGAAATAACATAAATATTCAGGAAAATAAAATAAATAATATTTTTGATACGTCCTCAAAAATTACCTTGATCAAGAACGAATCTTGAGGCATATTCAAGTTGGAAACTTTCAAAATTAAATTTGGGATCATTTGAATTCCAATTTCAGCAAAATTATAGTCAAATTGAGCATCTCAAAGAGCGAAGCAGACAACACAAAAATTGGTCCAACTCAAGCCCCAATGGGTCTTAATCGGGGGCCCGGACCACATTTGAAAGGATTAAAACATTATTTGGATAATGAAATTATATCCAAATATGGCATGCTTATAGTCAAATCGAGCGTCTTGGTGAGGCGAATCCAACGAGCCCAAGATCTCTAAATTCCGGCACTATTAAGGCACTTAAACAGTTGAAAAACTCTCTACGATCGT